TTAATCTGAAGCATCAATAGGTTTCTGTGCAGAAGTCTGTGAAGGGCTGGAGGCTGCCTCATGGTATGGTGGGTGGGCTCAAATCCCACACACGGTGGGTAGTTAATTATTACACAATGTAGAGTGGCTTCAGCAAGAGAGACTGCAAGAATCCCAGTCCAGCACTCCATAACACTATTGTCAGGGTAGTCATGTGTGAGAAGTCAGGAAAAGTGGCCTTTTACATGTCCCAGGCCTTACAAACTAACTGGGAGACAGGTCTGGACTAGGTGGGACACAGTGCTTTGTGTGGGTATTTTGCTTCCCAACTTCAGAAGAAATCTGGGGGTTGCAACTTCTTTGGGGTGTGACACTTTTTGAATCTTAATACATATTATTAATCTTTTTGATATTTCAAATAAAGTTTAATAGACAAGGGAGAAAATTCCTAAAAAATGCTGATCATAACATCAGTGAGCAAGACATGATAGTGAAGTTATGGTGACTATTGTAAATCTTAAAGAAATAGATGTCTGATTTATTTTGGATGCGTATGAGCGGTTTTTTTAGTACTGAAATATCCAAAAGTAAAAACTGCAGGAGGGAAATGCAAGTAAAATGTGAAGGACCTGAGCTACCAGCTGTTATCATGAGTTTGGTGCTATGCTATTTGAGCAGAATGTACCTCTAAATACCAGCTTTCATTTGACTCGCTAAGAACTCATTGTGTGACAGACTGGTAATGGACTGGATAGTGCAGTTTATTCTCCCTAAGAATGTGAGTTGATATGAGAGTAACCCACTATTAAGCATTTGCTTGCCAGCTTAAACAGGCTTTTATTTAGTACCTTTACTCATAAGAGGGAGTCAGTAAATAATAACAAGCAAAAAAAGCCCTTCTATGGTAAAAACTACAAATTAAAACTCCACTGGATGCTAAGGGATCAATTTTTCATGGTGTTAAAATACAGTGGGAATACTCATCATTGTTCTTTTAGCACTGTACCTTCATCTGTGTCTGAACACAAATGTAAAATCCTTTACACTCATATGTAATGAGTTTGCCCTTTTGTATTTTAAACCTATAAAATTTCTCAAGAAATATGTCCTGGCAGTCTCTGAGAGTGGGGATGCTAATACCATTCTGTTTATGAACAGAAAACATTCTTAATTCAAAACAGAAAGTGTCATAATTGTTCTAAAGCAAGAGCTGCACTCAGCCTGTCACGAGTTAATGCCAAAGCTGTTTTTATAGCCGCTATTCGAGGGAGAAGAGAAGACATCTTAATTAAACTCTGCCTTTGTTGAGGACAACCTACTGACAAAGTGTACATGCTAACTGCAGTCGTGCGTCCTGCTGTCGCCACTATCAAGGAGAAAAGCAATAAAAGCAGACTGCAAGTGGCTGCTGTCATGCAGGTTGCTGTGGAAGGACAGCCTCGAGAAGGGTTGCTTTGTTCATTCCGTACAAAGTCTTTGAAATTTTAGAGACAACCTCTAATAACTACAAGTCAGAATAATTCTTTCCATGGTGGAGCATTGCAGACTTGTCACACTGAAATGTTCAACGTCAGAAGTCAAGGTGCAAAATATCAATAAAAATCATTAGAAGATGTTGAGCTGTCCTTTGATTTTTATCCAACGATGAAGTTTGCTGATTTAGGATTTTTTTTTTTCCCCCTGAAGTCAAGATGTTTAAAATTAAATAGAAATGGAATTTTCACATAATCATCTTGTTGTGGCAGCTAGGACTGTAAGAGAACTACTAGCAAAATGTATATAATAAAATAATGAACTGGGAAGTCTTTGATGAGGTTGTCTACTCTCATCCTCTTTGTTTGTGTCGTATTATTTTGCTGTTTTCTCTTGCCATTCCCTTTCTCTTTCATGTGGGAAGAAAAAAATGTGCATGGGTAAAGGGTAAGAGTAATTGCTGATCTGTCTACCTGTATCGCTGTGATGGGAGTTAAAAATCATTAAGTACCAGTGCACCTGCAGGCACCAGCCTTCTGCTGGTATTTCTGGGTGTTGCTGGTCACTCCAACTTTCTAGCAGACAGTAAACCAAAACAAAACAGTCAAGTAGGGTTTGAGAAACTTGTTTGTAAAGTATCTGAAGCTGAGACTGTTCCTGCAATATTATGAAGGCTCAGTGGGTAGATAAAACGCTGTAGAAAAAATGAGGGAAACAGGGACCAGTGGATTGCTATTCTCTGCTTACTGCCCAGGTGTCTCAAGAAGAACCTGAAAGAGCAATTTATCTTTCTGCAAGGAGAAGAGATAAATTCCTTGCCTGACAGGATTGTCTGCTTCATCTTGGAGATATTTATCTTGAGGCTGTATGGAGTAGTCTTTTTGAATATTGCTTACTATGACTTGCATTGAGATTAATGAGTCCTTTCATACAACTCCATCACTAAATCTGGGCTGCTTTTTGGCTAAGATGAAAGAAATACCACCTCACATTGTCCCGTTCCCCCAGTTTTTTGAGCACTGTTTAGCTAAAATATTTAGTTGTTATTTACTTTGAGTTGTAGATGCAAAGTATTGTGATATACATTAACTAAATATTACGATCAACAAGTAGTAAAAAATGCATGATTAAATTACTCGTCAGGAGTAATAAGTTCTAGTCTTGCTAAGGACAGGTAGGAATTTAAGGTAGAAAAGATGTTCCTAGGAGGGTAGATAAAAAAGGTTCTAATAATCTATAGGAAAAAAAGTAAAAAGAAAGTGTCAGTTGCTACACTTAATGGGGGGAAAAAAATAATTGTCTTTGCCATTTACTAGTCTACAGAGATGTACTTTGTGCAATGAAAATATTAATTAGTATCACACTTTTAGTAGTAAATTCCAGTTTTCAATGAAACATGCAAGTAAAAGACCATGTTTTGAGGACAGTTCTGTTCAGTTCTCTGAAAATTAAACCATTATAGCTGAATATAAGTGTTATATAACACATGAGTAGGATCTTCTGGTCTCATGCTATAATAATTATTTTGTTGTGTTTGGCCTTGAGTGAAGAATTAAATTGGGGATTCATATCATGTCTCATCACACAGCCTGAAATGCTAGCTGATATGTATTGCTATCTACCATATAATTTTTATTCAGATATCATTTTAGTTAGCCGGTTAACTTTAAATAATGCTTTTGGTGAAAACATGGACAAATGATAGTGCAGTTTCTTGTTAGAAAGTATATTTTTATTTGTGAATTTAGAAAAATTAGTAGAATGAGTATAACAAAACTTCAGAAGTTACTTCTAAGTTTCACATTTTTTCCCTTGAAGCAGTAGATGTACGTAGTTGGTGATAGTGAGTTGGCTGTACTTTGCCTAACTATGATGTTTCTTTGAGCTACAAGTGATGATAAAGACTCATGATTCTTTGGGTGTACAAACTTTTGCAAAAGGCTGATATTCTTCCTGTAAATACTTTGTAAAGCTCTAGTTTTAATAATATTTTTAAAATATTTTTCTTTAGTCTTTTTAAGGTGTCATTTTAATAGATGTAAAGCAAGTATGTTTAAAATTGTCAATTTGGAAGTGCACATTGGAAGCATGCATTGATAGGAAAAGTGCCTGTGTAAGACAAAGTCATTTTTCATTTTCAAATTATGAAAATACTTTAGAGTAGCCATATGAAATTCTTTAAGACAGTATATTCAAAGAAAATACAGCTCATTCTGTTTATAAATTTTAAAAAAAATTATTTCTGGGTATTCTTATACAAAGAGAAACTTTTGCTAATGTAAAAATCTATGGAAAGTAGAAGTTGAAGTTAAAAGAAAAGAAAAAAATTGTAATGTTGATCATCAAATGTTTATATTATTTATTTCCATATCTCAAAAGTCTTGCAGTGTTAATATTTATAGTAACAGGGTTTATTGTATTTACAGTTTAATCTTATATTTTTAATTTAGATGAGTTTATTGTTTAATATGACTTTAACTTGGATATTCAAGAAAAACTTAACATTTTCATAATCATTACACTGAACTGAACCTCTATAGAAAAGTTCAGAGCATTCCACTCAGATGCAGATTTTTTATTAGTGTTTATTTTCACCTCCTGTTAGGATAACATAAGTCTGGAATGACTGATTGTGCAAGTAATTATACACAAGTTTGAGGAGGATTTTATATTCTGGCCATGGGGTTGCATGGAAATAATTTCTGTTTTCATTGGAAGTTCACCTGTTCATTTTATTACGTATCTGTCTCAAAGTCTTTAGGATTTTAGGTCTTTATTGCAAAGCTAAGTATGATACAACATAGATGCTTTTAATACCAATGTCCCCACAAGTTTATGTGCTGGCTGCCTGGAGTTTGGCCTGATAATTTATGTTTGACAAGACTAGGGTCAATATCGCTCAGAAGTAGTGCTGTTGATTTTTTTAAGATGCGATGTCCTCTTCCTCAGCACTGAACCAGTTTTGCAGCAGCTTACTTGCGATTTAGTAAGGCATCATCCTTGAGATGAATCATAAAGTTGTGGCTTGGCAGCTTCTGCCCAATGTTAGGCAATTTTCATAAATGCAGAGTATTACAAAGGGCAGAGTACTAACTGTTCAGCTACCTGAATATCCCATATACTTTTATCTTATTAAGATTTTTTTCAGGTTTTTCCCTCTGTTGAAGGAGGGTTATGTCTTGCCTTGACTGTGGGTCTTATTTCCTGGGGAGTGGGAGAGGGTAGGTGAATTGTATCTGCTTCTAGATCAGTAAAATATCTTGGGAACTCTTCAAATGGGACTGTTGCAAAATATTATACCAGATAAACTTATCACTTTTGGTACAGAGTGAAAGGAGACAGACCATCTTCTCCGAGTGTCCCTAAAACTTATGTGCAGTAACTTACTAACATGTATGAAATGAGCCAGGTTTTTCAAATGTTTTGTTAGATTCTGTAAGGTTCTGTACTTACTACTGTGTTTTTTCTTGTGTTTTACCTGTGTTAATTATAATGAAGGATGTTTGAGGCAGAGAACAGGACACCCAACTGACCTAATAATACTCTGCGGCAAGACTTTTCTCCATCAGGACCCATCCTGTTGTAGTACTTACTTTTAAGATGGCAATGCTGCTTCACCAAACTTCCTCCTACAGTGAGAGAAGCAGGGATAACTCTTGGAAAAAGTTTTGAGGCTAGTGACAAAATATGTTTGTCTTTCAGATCCCCAGCTCAAGGGTATAGTGACCAGGTTATATTGCAGGCAAGGCTACTACTTGCAAATGCACCCCGATGGAAGTCTCGATGGAACCAAGGATGACAGCAGTAATTCTAGTAAGTGACTGCCCCAGGGGAATGTCTTAATCGCACATGCAGATTGCATTGCTTGAGTATGAATGTGCGGACACAATGTTAATGCCTTTGGAGGGTTTCTGAATGTGTTTTGTCAAAAGGAAGAGAGTTCTGTCCATTTGAAGACTAATGACCACCAGCATGGCTTGTGCAAGACATTGGCCTAAATGTATTCCCTCTGAAGGGGAAGGTGTAAGAGCCAATGGGCCTTAGGGGTGAGATACTTAGGCCAATGATTGTCTTCTGATAATTTCGTGAAAAAGGTAAAATTATATCAAATAGATTTTTTATAAAAGCTATATACTTAACATAAATTTCTTCAAATAAGTAACAAAAAAAGAGATGGAAACAAAAGTTCCTTCAAAAATCTGGTCATGTAGGCCCTGATGCAGCAAAGCAAATAAATGAATGTCTACCCAAATATTGCTTAAAACACGTGCTGAAGTACCTTGCTGAACTACAGCTTAAGGTCCTACAGTCCCTATACTAGCAGGAGTTCCAATGACTTTAAGAGAATTTCTACCAGTGTAGGGACTGCAACAATGGCAGTTTTCAAAGATACTTCAAACAAAAGTGGTCTTGAAAGGCCATGTGTGTACTGTTTTCTTATGATACTGCCACATATTTTCATTCAGTGAGCACATATACATTTGATAACTTCAGCTGCAAATTATAATTAAGCAAACCTATTCTTACTCTAGAAACAGTTGAGTTTTAATTTTCTATTTAGCAGAGAACATTTGTGTTTTGTTTATTTTAATGATAATGGCATATTTAAGTAACATTTATGTGTGATCTTGAGGTCTATTTTAAACATGTATAATATAAAATATTTATCTTCTTATTATGCATAGATAAAAAAACCTTTAGTTTTCTCAAAAATGTTGGAATTAGGCTATAAAAACTAAGGGATTTGAGGTTTCTGCTTTACTTTGGTTAGGTCCCTGGTAATCTCTTAAAGTATAGCTGTCATTTTTAACACATTTCATCAACAGATAGCATGATCATCTTTTATTGTTCAATTTATTTTTTTTTTTCAGAAGTGAGAAAAATAACTAATTATTCAATTCTGATGTGTATTTTTCTGCTTGTTTTTCAAGTGGTTTTTCCCCACCCTGTTCATTGTTTCTTTTTTTCCCTCAGTGTGTCCATCTCTCATGCCCGCTTCTGTACTGGACTAGATACTAAGACCTTATACAGACAAGATCGTTATTGCTTTTTATAGAAACTTTGCCTATAAGAGGTCCAAGAAATGTCTCATAGAGTGCAAGCATGTATCTCTCTCTCTCCCTCACCTTCTCTTTCTGCACATCTCTCTCTTATTTCCAGCTTCAGTGAGGTGTGCATGACTGCAACGATTTTGGAATGTTTTAATGTTATTTCTGTTTAGGGTTTTTTAAAATCTTAGAACTCTGTGGATTTTGAATCTTTGCAAAACTAGACCATAGTGCCTTACTTTCCTCTTTTTGCTGTTGTCAGCTTTACAAATCTTCCTTTCTTTGCTTACTGTGTCATTTTCCTTTTCTCTCCCCTCCTCCCTGCCTTTCTAGATATCCATCTGTCTGCCCATCTCGTTCTTGTTGTTCCAAAATAAAAGTGGATATTCTATATCATAAATATTCTGAAATATAGAACTTGCCCAAACTCAACTAAATCCCAGATAGCGGTGTTGCATATTTTAGATAAATATTGTTAGATAATATGTCTTACTTCAACATGAGTTTTTAGTCTAAACCAATTTTTTTTTTTTTCATAAAGGGATCATTTTCTTCCTTTAACTGGTGTGATTCACTATTTGCTTCTTCACTAGTCCAATTTTACAATATTATTTAGGAAAGGCAGTTTAGACCATAGAATGTAAAATTAACCACCTTAATTTTTGCTAGTATGTATGTATCAACATTATATTAAAAGCTGAAAAGATTTGTCTATTTTGTATATGAGTATGTGTCTGTTTCTTCTGTGCTGTCAGTTTTTCTCCTCAGTTTTTTTCTCTTTCCACTTCTTTTCCTTACATTTACTCTTGAACTTTTTGTTTCTTATTGCTTTCATTTATTGCAGCATATTTTGGTTTTCCTTTTCTCTTTTACTTTAAAACAATAATTTTCTCATGGATAGAATTCCCAGTGTTCTGATTTTTTTTTTTTTCTTGTGAGCTCCTTATCATGATAACTTCTGTCTGAGGCTTACTGATAAGTATGTTTTGGCAGCTGCTAGAGGGAGAAAATCCTGCTTCTGACCATGGAGCTTGCAGGCTGCCTATTTGAAATGCCCAGTGGGTGACAGGATGGACATATATCAGCTGTCAATAGGACAGCTTACCTTGGTAGTGAGAATAACTTCCGTTCAAAGTGTGTTTCATAAAAATTGAGAAAATACATACTGCCAGAGGGTGTGCATCTCTGCCAGCCTTCCACACGTCTTCTGCACTATTCACTGTTCCCAAACCCTGTGAAAGAGTCCTCCTTGTGCACTGACCACCTGAGTAGTTGTGTGTCAGAGGAGCCAGAGTGAGCAAGTAGCGAGGGTCAGAGAAATGATTTCTTTTTTGTCTTCAGCAAGAAAACTGTTTGAAGCTTAGTCATGCTGCTGCTTTTTGTGCTCTTGCAATTTATTCTGTGTCAAGCAGTTAGAGGAGTGCTTGAAGTTAAAATTCCCTCACGTGCATCTATCATTTTGTACTCATTTTATATGTATGTCTGTAAACAGGTAATACACAATTGGAGTTACAGTGTTATAGAGAGGTAACACAAAGTAAGATCAAGATGTAGTCTGTTCAATTTGAGTGTTTCTGTTTACACTGATTTTTTTTTTTTTTTGTCTTTAAAGCTTCTTGGTAGTCTCTTTAATGGTACTTTTTGCTTCTATCTGAAGTAAAAATGAGTTTTACTAGTGGTTTTGGTCAGCTGCTATAGTGCAAGCCATTGCCCTAGCTCGCTTTGAGTTTGAGTAAAGGCTAGAGTCTGCAGAGCTAGAGGGCAAGATTTTTAATGTATCACTGTGCACAAACCCTTGCATGAAAAAGGAAGAAAGTTGTGACTGCTTGTAATTGCATCCCTGAATGTACTTTAATTTGCTTATGTTGGTGGCAATGCTATTAGAACCCAGCCTATATGGAGTGTTGGGTTTCAGTTCCTTGTTATAATTTATTTTCATATCTTTTCCAAGTTAGTGATGTTCTGTAATGGAGTAGGGATTAATTGCACCTATTAGTTAATGGTGCTGAGTTTCTTTAAATCTCATCACCAGACCAAGGCCATTAGCTTTAACCATCTTGTGTGTACAGTTTGTACTTTTTTGCCAAAAGTTAGTGATATGTGGAAAGAGGCTTTATTACGTTGCTTTTCTTGGTTTAGCTGGTTTTCGCTTTTTTCTTCCTCTAATGCCTTACACTTTCTGGTTTGCTTTTGTGGATAGTTTACAGTGAAAGCAGGGCTGACTGTGGTTAAAGCTGTAGGCTTGGTTACTGAGGTCCTACTCAGCATAGCTGTCCCTTTCTAGCTCTAATTTTCCTTACAGCAGTTCTCAGCATTACTTGGTGCAAATGGAACTCACTTCAGTGTTGTCCATAGGCCTCATCATTATTAATTACAAAAAACAAGCTGCTGCACAGAAATTATAAAGAAATAGAAGAGATTTTCATGTTGTGCTTGTGGTAACAAGAGTTACATTCCCCTTCTGTCTGCCTCCTCCCCCAAAACAACTCATTTTTAGCCTTTGGTCTATCTTCAAAGTTTTGTCTTATGAATGAAGGGTAGGTTTAGTAGAAAAACTAATTAATATGAGAAACATGCAATTCTGATTCTTTAATTTCTGAGATTGAAACCCTGAATCTCTTAGCCCTATGGCTTAGTTTAATTCACCTGAAGAGTATATCTCAGGCAACAACCACTGAAAAAAATCATAAATTCTGATACTTTCCTCAACAGGTGATAAGCCTGATTTTAACACTCAAATGCTGCTATTTGCCCCTATGAAATTACAGTCGTGTTTAAACAGATTAAACAAATTAAACATTACTCATTTGTAGCCTTATTTCGTAAAGTTTTAAATGCCAAAGTTAACATTACCCAAGCAACTTTGATTTGGCTGCGCTTTGCACACCTTTTGCTTAATTATGCAGCAACATGGTTTACTTCTGTTGTGTCACTTGGTACCTGGTAGAATTGCTGTTCTATCATGCAACCGTTTAATATTTTTTTCAGGTTTTAATGCATGCTCCTAGTGCTCTATTTATATTTTCCAAAATGAATATGGAAGTATTAACTTTTTCATGTCTTTCTAAACTACCTACCACTCTCATATTTTGGCTTGAAGTTATTAATAAAATAATGTTCATAGCATCCTTGTAAGGTAAAGGAGATAATTAGACAGAAATAAAGCACATGAAGATTGAAAAACAACAGCTGCAGTGCTGTTAAATTTGGATTATTGAGCTGAAATATTTGCAGTCTGATTTTTGCACTGTTTTTTACTGCAGTTTGTCTTCAGAGAATTGCACAGGGATTTAGTCATGCATTTACATCACCTTTGGGAGTTAGGTAAGCCTGTTTCTCCCATTGGTATCATCTAAGTCAGTGTGGCAGGATCAATGGAGGCCATGTTCAGCCATACTAAAAAGTACAGTTTAATTACGTCTTGTATAACATCTGGTGGATAGAATGGGTTTCCTCCATAAGATGGATGGATCTCTGAATACCAACCTCCCTGCACTCATTGCCAATCTAAAGGATGTTCTGATGTCATCATTTTTGCCTGTAGGCATGCAGATGGAAATAAATTAAAGAAATAGTTGCTTTGATCTGATTGGAGGTTCGATGCTGTAGGAAGGTTTGTTAACTGACACCGGAGCTGTGCACATGCAGAACAGACAGCAAGTTTATAAGCCTTAAGCAATTGGTCTCTAGCAAGCTTCTTGAGAAAAACAGTGATCTGTAATGGCAATTTTCTTGTAGCTACAAGTCAGTTGTACCTAAATACATTTCCATAAGGATATAGAAATTATCTGATTTCAGGCATTTCAGATTTCAAGTTAATAGCCCGTGATGGCATTACATAAAAAAAAAAGAAAAAGATATGTGGTGGGTTTGTGTTTTGCTCAAGAAAATAATTATTGCTTATCAAAAATTGGACTTTAACTTTGGCTAAAACTTTTGGAGGATTTGGATTGTTCCTGCAGATCCCTTCCACACCACATAAAACAGTAACTTTTTTCATGCCAGTTGTTGCTATTAACTGTCCCCCTCCCCCATTTTCTCATCTTGTGTGTGGTGGGAGTAGGCTTGCAGGCTTAGGAAAAGGAAGAGAAACCATTTGCTTTACAGTTGTGGTTTAGATGAAATAAAAAGCAGAGCTAAGGGAGCATACATAGGCTCAGTGCTGACAAAGAGAAAGGGGTTTATTTGCACCATTTTTGCCTAACGGTTCGCTTGTTTACCCCGATGTCCCCATATCTTGTTTCCAGTTGGATTTGCCAGGCTTTATACTTAATCATGCAGCATGGAAGCACTGAGCATCAGGCAGAATTATATTTCCTGGGCTGTTCCAGAGTGCTCCGTCTCTCAACTCATGGGACTGGGTTTAGGAACATAAAAATGTTCAAGGGATCTCACCCCCATTGTTTTTGGTTTTGGATCATTGTCTTAAAGATAGAGGGAAGCTGGGAGCATGTTTCTTTTCAGCCTCCCCCTTGAGTAGGCATATTTTTGGCTGTGCAGACCTGAAATAGAAGGCTTTCTGCTTTTCTCAAGACACATTCTTATTAGAGAAGGGAATAGCACAGGTGAATCCTAGGAAAGTTAGAAATCTGTAATTGGGCACAGAAATCCTGCTCAGTAAAAGTATTGCACAGCCAGGTTCTGGAGGAAATTGGACTTCCTTTGGCCAGCTTCAGAGCACATAAAAACTACATGCTGTGCCTTACTGGTCCATGTTTTGCTGACCTCACCATGAAGCACATTGCTGAGCATTTATCAATCAATAATTGAATGTAGACTGGCCTCCTTAGTTTCGCCCAAACCTGAAAGATTTTGTGGAAGTTACTGAATATTCTGTATGTGCAGAATTACAGCATTTCAGATCACACTCTAAAATTTTATGGTCTTAAACTAACTACAGGAGCTCTGACAATCTCCAATTAAAACTTGGTGTCAGTAAAAGACACATTATATGCCCTCCTCAGTGCTTTCTAAATTCACCAGCAACTATAAGCCACTCTAGTGATTTTATAGGTTGCATAAAACACTGCCATGTTACAGGCCTCTAATTCAATGGTGGTTGTTTGGGGTTTCTTTTTCTACCTTTGCTGCTTTATTCTTATTAGTAATACAGCAAATAATACCTAGGTTCCAGAAGTTTTGACTGAACCTCTATGATTTGGAGTTATTTTTCATTAACTTTCCACGACTGACTTGTCTTTTGTGTTCACCTCTTTTCTTTCTACAAGTATTTGTTTTTCCTTTCTGGTGTCCCCTCAATTGTTGCTGCCCTCCCTCTAGCATCGTGTTCCTACCTTGGCTTCCTCATGCAATTTCTTTTCTTCTAGAAAAAAAATAAACTGAACTGCCATCTGAAACCTAGTGTTGCTGTGACAGACTGCCCCTCCACTACCAACAATAGTGCTTTTGCTGGTTTTTACATCCTTTCATTTCAGGGTAATAGCTGATTGGTTTTTTAACTTCCGAATTATATTGAACATTTGAAAGCCCTCCAGTCATTCAATGTTTAGCCTATGTACTCTCAGGATATCTTGTCCATGAGCACCATATTCCACTTGTTTACATTTATCTTGTATAGGTTAGAAAGGGAACCTTGTCTGTGCCCTGTATCCAGTAAGATCTTAGCATGTTGGAGACCTTTATGGAAACTACAGAAATCAAAATATATATTTGTGCTAATTCTTGTCTGATGTCATCTCTTCTATTCTTATATGTAAAACCATTTCTTTTTCTGTTCTTCCAGAGCTCTTTTGGATATATTTTTCTTTCTACAGCTGTAGAAAGTGCTCTGCTACAATTCCTAGCTTCATGATGGCTTTGTGTATTCCTAAAAAGATTTTATGTTACATGTTCTTTTACTGTGTAACAATGCTGAAGGTGTTTTTTCTAGTAGTCAACCTGTTTTTTCTCAGTTGTAGAGATTTTATCATCTTCATCATAAACAATCTGTGGCTTTGTGCCCTTTGGGCAACCAGGAGTTTTCACACCTTGAGAAAATGTACTAATCCAGTGCAATTATGTGACCCTTTTTCTCTTGATTTGGGCTTTACCCCTGACATTCTGGTTACAGATAGCTCATAGGGTGCACTTTCTGGTCACATCTATGAATGTTCTTCCTAAATTTTGAGGAACTCACTGTAGGTGTTATGGTATTCCTGAGACCTGGCTTAGTTGCATGTGGACTGTGCACACGGTTTGCATTTTTGGTTTTCATCCAAGGACTTGTGAATCTTTGATTCATCCACAGTGGAAAAACACTTAGCCTGAACTCTGGCTCATCCAGATCTTTTCTTCCAAGACTTCTTGATGTGTGCTTTGCATCTGATTTCCTAGTATGAGTCAGTAAACTTCGTATTGGTGTGTACTGGCATAATTTTTATTAGAAGAATTGGTCTGTGTCTCCTATTTACCACTTTTAATTCTGTTGTTCTGTGGTGAGGCTAATAAACTCCCACTCTTCACACTGGTCTCTTTCAGACACTAATCAAAGCTGTGGCTTTTTCACAGAGGTAATATAGTATTGCTAGAGTATCTACTATTAGCTCAGGTCAACATTTAAACACACAGAGAGAGCCCTGCCATGCGAATTTCAGCCTTTGAGCATGTTCTATATTCAGCTCAATAGCATTTATGCACATTTAGAGTAAAGCACATATTTCAGTGCTTTTCTGGACTAGGATAAGCTTCTTTCATTATATCTGTGATGTCTCTGTACTACTACTTGTATCAAATATGTAATTCACAAAAGCAAGTTTTACTTGTTTTATTTCAAACCACAGACACCTTGAAAGTAATCTTTAAAGAGAGCACATCTTAATCCAAAACTGTAAAAATGCTCAGAATCTGAGATACGTTTTTTTGCAGGATATCTCACAAGTATTATCCTGAAAATCAGTCTAAACTGATGAAAAATGTTGGGCTCTGACTCTTTTCAGATTGTCTGAAATACTTATGTCTGCAGTGCTGCATAAATGACTACAGTCCAGTCTGCTGTGCTTTGTATTTGCTAGTTAGCACTTGTGCCAAATACTGAACTATTGCAGAATTTATTGCTAGATAGATACTTAGGCTTTAATTTTAAGGATTAATTTTGCTAGAAGTAGGATTTCCTGAATTAGTTTCATTTTAAAATCAGAAAAAAATATACAGGGAGAAGTTTTCTTTCTTTTTACTAATAATATTTATTAGAATATAGTAGCAACTGTATGCTACTGGCTGGGCTTAAACCATGACACTGTCGTATATTCATATCTGGTCTTTTTTTTTCTTCACAGCTTTATTCAACCTTATACCAGTGGGACTTCGAGTTGTTGCTATCCAGGGTGTAAAGACTGGGTTGTATATAGCACTAAATGGAGAAGGTTTCCTCTACACATCAGTAAGTACCTTTCTGACTCTGTTTAACAGGCACAGATGAAGCTTAAATCTACACAGGAATGAGATGCATATTCACTTATTAAAAGTTCTATAGTGTCTAAATATGTATATACATATAGTACACCCCCCCATTTACCCATGTACGTATGCAGCATATCTATAAATGGGATGAAGTATAAATTATTGTGGACTATGTATGAAAGTCTGCGTGTTAGCAGTCCTAAAAAAACATTCTGTAGAGCTCTTTTTCTGCTAGGTTAGGAGTGTGCAGTTCACCACAAAGATTATTATTATCAATTAAATTCTCAAGAATTTTTAAATAAAGACCTGCAATTATTTTCTTAGTAACTTGTTGATCGGAGTCCAAAAACTGGTCCAGCAGTTACTTTCATTGATAAGACTTACAAGTGTAACTTCTGTCTAAAAAGTCATTAACAGCCCTACGGTTTGTCACCATAATCTTGTAACTGCATGTGTAGCATTATTAATTTTTATATTTCAGATATCAGAAAAGTAAAGAGTTAGGTGAGGGATGATATCTTTGCAGAATGATCAAAATTTAAGAAAAAGTCTTTTCAGTCAGAATGAAGACTGCCGGATAAAGTGATTGTTTAAGATTTTCTAAATGATTTAATGCTAATCACTCAGTTTGTTGTGAAAATGAAAATCCTCTGTTTTGTGTAAATTCAGTGTCTTAACCTCCTTTGAAAGGCAAACAGACTTTAATATGAACAGGCAGTTCTGTCAGGTATTAATAATGTGGCTTAAAGGATTTTTCATTACTGTATTTTTATTGCTGTCTACGTTGAATTTACTTATGTAGTGTTTTTTCCATTTTTTATGTCACATAGTTCTTAATTCCCCACAGAGTTACAATACGCTGCTTTGTTTTCAGTGTCCATTGAAAGGAAATTGGACAGATTAAGCTTCTGATGCCCTGAGGAAAAGTATTCTGTTTCAAATATACAATTGTCTTGGAAAAGCTAATTAGGAAGTAAAAAATGGAACTAATCTTGAATGTCAATGTCAAGAAAAAGAGAAAATTCCTTCTCACAAAATGTCTGCTGGAATCTCCAGCAGTATGATCTAAAACATTTATTTTTTCTGTTAAAAATAAAAAAATCTATCACAGGAAAGCATTTAATATTTGCTGTCTGAAGGAAGAAAACTAGACGAACAAAACCTAGAGCTATTAGAGAAAACACGTTACTGACTTCCCAGTTCCATTGCTACATGTAGGGAGTTCATTTCAATATGATGGCATTAACAGCACTTTTGTAATGTGTTAGTACAGTTAAGAGTACATTCTTGCCCAGCACTGTTTCTGAAGTGAGTTCTCAGTCCTTCAGAAAGAAATACAGATTCCAGAAAATGTACCTGTTTTCTGATGGCTAATTCTGCACAGGGGAGGGACCCTACATGAACATATTCTGTCAGCCTCTGTGTTCATGTATTATTCTGGAAATGGTTCAAGTTAAATGAATGGTGTCATCTGGGGAGAGGAAAGGAGTGGAAAGTACAAGGCAAAATAAGAAGAGATGACTGGATCCAAATTTTGAACAGGTGTGAACATCCTCAGGTCTAAGAACTTATTTTTGTCCTGCTAGTGGACAAAAATATCTTGAATACTTTGTTCCTATGTCTTCTTTTTGAGCAACACTGATTAGTTAGGTTGTGATCAGTCTCATGGATATACATAAAAGATCATGTATAATCCACATTTAGTGTTTTGACAGATTGCATATTCTTCATTGTAACTAATGGCAAGATTTTTTTTACTTGATGACTTTAGTTCATTTGATTATATTCCTGTAGTTATTGACAATTTATTAAGTACTTTGGAATTTTGTTCTGTGAATGTTGACATGTTGTGCGTGTATTTCACTCAAAATTCTTGGGAGTGTCTCAAGCTGTCACTTTACCTTGTGTGAGGTAAGGAAACAAGTGGTTTTGGAATGTACTGCTTACTCTTCCTCATGTGGAGAATGAAAGATGAGTGGCCCATTAAGTGACAAAGAGATGTGACACATTAGAAAACTCAGTGGAAGCCATTAGTTTTGGGATGTCTACAAAACAATTTTCAGATTATGCTTTTGTCAAGTGCTATACAACAGTGCTGTAATACAGGTTTGATTGTTTAATATTAGTGTATTGAAAACATTGACAATGCATTTTTGTCTTAGCAATTGCCTGCTTTCAGCTTTTGAAAAGAAGATGACAAAGCATCAGAGAGAAGTCTGTCTTCTCCCTGCGGATCAAGATGAAGAAATACTGCATGCAGAGTATTTTAAATGCTGTCATTTGTAGAAAAATATTTTTAACATATCACTTTCTGTACTGTCTTGTTGGTGGGGTTTTTTGACTCTTTGTCGTGGTTGTGTATTTGTTACACCTAAATGCAGAAGTTGTGTATTACATGTCATATATGTTTTTCTTTTGGCTATTCAGGGAAGGACGAGAGAAAAATGTTTTCTAAGTTTCATATGCCAACTGTCATCATTGGAAAAAAACAGTGCCACATAATGGGAAATTTAAAATTTATGTTAAAATGGGAATAGTTAAAATTTACATATATTTAGATATATTGTCAATTTCTTATAAACATTTAAAAAAAAGGTGTGTTTACTATAAACTAAGTAGCATTTATAGTCTCAGTTGAAACCAAAGTCCTATATAGTCCTTCTTTGCAGAATACCTCAGTGTCCCTTTTCCATTCACAGTGTATGAAACCCATAGCTTGTGAGAATATCCTATGTGTTGATGCCTTTCTTTAGCGATTGAAGGCCCAGCTCAATTATTTTTATCATTACCTTTACTTGTTGTTGACTAATTAAGCAACAGCACAGACGAGAAAGGTATTGTGTGTGATCCTGCTTCCTCTGTTATGAAGAGGAAAATGAAGGTACAGTGACAGACCAGTTTTACATATAGATTATCAAATGCAGCTTTGCATTGTTTTCTTGCTTTATTTAAAAGAAATAGTAATTTAATGGTTATTTGTGTTGGTTTGGGAGTCTCTTGTTTTTTCTTATCTGATTCTGCCATATTTAAGATTTTTTCAACTAATTTACAGAATGAGAATTAGAAAAAACTTTCAGAAGTATCATAGAAGACAGTTATGGCAGTATTTCTTAGAACAGAAATAGAAGGACAGCAAATTGTGTAGGAAAGTCAATCTCAAGAGCTTTTCATACCTATTTTGCCTGCTGCAGCAGCTGATATGTGTATTCTGTCCTTTGGGGATTAATCGAGTCAGGGTCCCTAACACAAACCATCAAAGCCTTCTCAAATAAAGGAGAAGCAAAATCTTTGGAGTTTGATAACAGCTTTGCAGAATTCCTGAAAGAAAATACTTTTCAAAAACTATAACCTTATTTTCCAATGCATTTAAAGTAATTATTGTAACACCATGATTTATTATTTTCTATTATATAAAATATGAGAACAAGAGCCTTTTCATGTTAAGTTTTATTCCTTGCACTTTTAAGGGTTAGCTCACTTAAAGACTGTCCATTAAGGTCACCTTTTTTGATGTTTTGGTTTATTGCATCCAATGCATTTATTTCTCTGTGTGTATGAGTACCTATACTTATACATGTATACCCATATATAAATCCATTCATAATTAGGAAATATTTATTTAGTGACAGCTTCCCAATTCTAGGTGTATGTTAGTAATGATAATTATAAAAAAGAGTTTGAATTTTTTTAGATGGAATAATGAAATGTCAATAAATCAGTATTTATGACTGAGTTCATCATTGTGAAAACTAGTTGGAGAAGCTAAATTTTTGCACAAAGAACCATCTCAGTTAATAGCAAGATTTTTGACATAATAGTTATGGACTTTGTATGTTAAAGTCCAAAAATATGCCTTACTCCTACCTCGCCATTGGAAAGGGTGGGCAAAATAGGTTTTTATTTCCAGGGTTGAACCTGTCAAAATCAAAAGGAGTTGAACTGGCTCCATGCACTGAAAAAAATGAGTACAGCCACAGGGATTCTTCGTTGGGAACAAGTATTGCCTGCAGCAGGAAGATGGCAGTGTAGTACCTGGCTTTTGCTTTTGATGCTAATTTTGGTCAATTCACTTTGCAAAAGGTTCATTAGTTCAACTTTCATGGGGGCTGCAGCTTCTTATTTTGCTTCTAGGATTTTCTGTTATCATAACAGGATGAATTCAGAGGTAAAACTTATATGTTAGTCCATTTTATGTTTCTTTTTTTTTCCTAAAGTGAGAATATGAGAATCTTCTTAGATTATATCAATTCTTGAGAACTACTTGATGTATTTAGGAGGGTTTGGCAGTTGGATTTTTTTCATCCTGGGAGCAGTTTAGCAGGGTGTTAACGATATTTGGTGGCTGCCAGAGTAGGAGAAAATGGAAAAACTAAAATGTAGAAATGAAGACATTCCAAAGTCTGAAACACCTTTACCTCCTAGTGCTTTCTTCTTTATGTTTCCTTTTTAACCATATCTTCTGCCAGTTTTCACTGAGACCTGAGATGGACATGAAACCAGAAAGCAAAGGGTATGTCTGTGATATTGTCAGCAGCAGATATTAAAGTCATAGTTATCCACTGCATGGTTTCTTAGTAAGGCTAATGAACTACAGAAATGCTCTAAAAGACGACTGAGCCTGCAGAGCCAGGTCAGAACTGCCTGGTCACCTCTGCCATTGTGGTGCCTTGCAGGGGTTGTGCACTGCAGGTCCAGGGCTGCACTTCTGGGTATGGGGCAGTGGGAATCTTGCTGAGAGGGGGGAGAGAATAATGGAGAGACATGGCTGCATTTCCAGGAGGTCTTACCAACTTTATAAAAAGTATTTTGAATTAGGGATGACACACTACTCATTTTACAAAATAATCTGTTTGTAAGGTGGGGGCTCGTGTTTGACCTGCCATGGTACATGGTGTTGAGGATGTTTGTAAGGGTGTTGTCTGGGTAGTGTTTCTGCAGCAGTAAGATGTCAGTCTGTGTCATAGCCTTCATGAATGAGAG